GCTTCTTCAGCAGGCAGAGAGATGCCCTCGAATGCCTGCACGCATACTCCAGCGAAGCCCATTAGCGCCTGAAACACATTTGGGAGGGCAGTCTGAAGATTGTTTAGCGTCATGGCTCGACTGTTTCGAACAGAGCTCAGATATTTTGCCTTCTCTTCTTCCACGCTTTTCTTGAGGGCTTCCAGTTTTGTGGCTGAAGCTGGATTCTCTTGATGCTTGTCCAAGTCAGAGAAACAAGTCAGCTCTTTCTCTAATCTTCTCTCTAGACTGAGAGACTTCTTTAGGAGGTTCTGCTCTTCTTTCTGCTGCACAAGTATGGAGTGGATAACCGACAGAAAGCTATTGATCGCCTCCGAAGCCACCTGCAATATATTCTACAACATCAGCAACTAGGGAAGGTACTTAAGATGTCTTTTAAAAAGTATATTTTATATTTCATTTCGCCATTTAACTGTGGTTATCCTCATTTCGCCAAAGTTCCAAAATAAAGTAAAATAACCCCATTCCAAATTTGAATGTAGACCAATTATTTTCCAAATGAGGATAACTTATGAAAACCCCCCTCAACTAGCGGTCGTATCAGAAAACCCCCTCAGCTATTTTAACCCCCCTCAGTTAAAGAGTTATTGTAGATAACCCCCTCACCTTCAAAATATTATGTATCCCGCCTCAAAATATTATTTAGACCTTCTCAGCCTCAGACAGTGTTGTCAATGCGCGAAGCGCAATGCGGGGCGTCAAGCATCTTTACGCGCACATGCGCAAGGCGCAACGCGATGCGCGCGCCCGAGTGATGCGAGGCGCACACCGCACACATAATTTTTCAATATATGTAATCAAGCGCGAAAGAACATGTTTTTAGAATTTACTTGAAAAATATCATGATAAATAATATCTTACTACCAAATCATAATATAATGCCTTAATTTCTAATGCTAACACCTAACATAGTAGCAAAATTCATAAATTTTTAAATCAAATTTTAAATCAAGATTAATATCCAAGCAAAGGATTAGTAATTGTTCTCAATTGAAGGCTATTTAAAAAGGACTAATGGATTTATTTTGCTTTTTGGGATATGGAATATCAAGTATAAAAACTCGATTGAAATGTTAACAAATAAAACTATATGAGGATATGTACTATATGTATCCTACACAAAGTAAGGATGTACGCGAGGCGCAAAGGCGCTGCTGCATCAGATGTGGGGCGTTTTGTCACTGCCCCGCACCATAAGGCGCATGAGGCGCAATGAGGCGCGCGCCTTTGAAAACACTGGCCTCAGATCCTCGCTCCAGCACCTCTCAATCCAGCAGATCCAGTCAACCCCGTCACCATCTCCAGCTCAGCTCGTCAGATCGAGTCCTCCTCCTTGGCGCCTCCTCCAGGATATGAGACGGCTATTAGGAGGAAGCTAGCGGCCAGATCCCCCTTACTCACAAGCCCTCCATTGATGCTTGGTTGCCTTCAGGAAGGGTTCTACATCCTCTGCCAAGAAGGGCCAGTCTTCATCTTCCACATCCACTTGCCCAGTTAATTCTTTTATTCCTGATTCCTTAGTTAATGTTACTACTAATTGTGGTATTCAAGTGCCTCTATCTGAAGAGGGCCTAGCTAAGTTGCAGAACCTTGCCATGACAAAGGGAGAAGTGGCAAATTAGTCCATTCCCCATCATGATACGGTTGTCTGACCTTATTAGTTATCATGAAGATAGGATCATGGAACATTAGGGGGCTCAATGACCCCGTGAAAAGGAGATTAGGTAGATACTGCATCTATTATTCTGGGGTTGACATAGTGGGCTTTCAAGAATCCAAACTCTCAGCTCCTAGAACTAGAACCTTGAATGCCTTAGGTGGGCATAGATTGCATGAATGGCTTAGTTTAGATGCAATAGATACTAGAGGTGGTGTACTACTAGGTTGGAACAACTATCTCTTCAATTGCCTTGATTCCTTTGTCGGCGTCTTCTCTGTCACAGCAGTTCTTCTCCACATTCCATCAAGATGGAAATTCATTGCCACTTCTGTATATGCCCCTTATGATAGAGAAAACAAATTGGTTTGTTGGTAGGAGATTGAGAGAATTAAGCAGGTTTTCTCAGGGCCATGGGTTGTTTTCGGAGATTTTAATGTGACTCTTAACAATGGGGAAAGAAGAGGTAGACCAGGATCATCGAGAGATATCCAATCCTTCAACTGCTTAGTTAATTCACTTTTCCTTATGGATATTCCCCTTGGTAGTCGTCAATTTACTTGGTCTAACATGAGAGAGAACCCATCCTTAGCATGTCTTGATAGATTCCTCATCTCTCTACTGACTTTGAAGCTCATTTTCCTTCTCTCACCCAATACGCTTTCCCTTCAGCTTGTTTAGACCATACCCCTATCATCCTGGATAGTGGAGGATCCTTCCCTAAACCTTTTTTCATATACGAGAAGGCCTGGTTTTCATACCCCTCCTTCAAAACTTTTGTTATAGACTGTTGGAAATCTATCTCTTGCAACAAAATCCTGTTCTTCTCTTTCAAGCTTAAAATTTTAAAAAGGAGTGTACTAAGCACGTTTTTGGTTCAATTCACTAACACAAAAAAGCCATCCTCCAATCCCTTCAATCTCTTGAAGCGCTGGAAGATTCTAGGCTCCTCTTCTCTAATAAGACGGCTCTCAGGGCCAAGCTAAAGCTTTTAATCTTATGGCTAATGCCAAGTCTGAGGAGGCCTACTGAAAATAAAGATCCAAGATAATATGGCTTAATGAGGGAGATAGCAATACCTCCTTCCACAAAGTCCATCCTATCATAGAAGGAAAAACTTTATTCTCCATCTTTTACACAATGACTCTCTTATCTCTGAGGAGGACAAACAGAAACTCCTCCAGGATTACTTCTCAGCCCTTTTTTCTACCACACACCCACCATCCTCTCTAGACTGGAAGCACCTCTATCCATCCAACATTGATAATCTTCTATCCTTAGAAGCCCCCTTTAGCTTGGAGAAAATCAAAGTTGCTATGTTTGGTCTCAGCCCAGACAAATCTTCGGATCCGGATGGTTTCCCCATCATGTTCTATCAGACGTTTTGGGATACCATTAGCCAGGATCTTCTAAACTTCTTCCAAGCTCTTCACCAGGACCCCTTCCCCCTTTAGGCTATCAACAACTCAGTCATAGTTCTTATTCCTAAGCTAGAAGAGACATATCTCGTTAAGGACTTTAGACCAATTACCCTTCTCAATGGTCTCTTCAAAATCTTCTCCAAAGCCCTGACTAATAGATTAGCTCTCTTTCTCTCTAAGTTTGTGGACTCCACTGAATCTGCATTTCAATCTGGCAAAATCACTCTTGATTCTATCCTCATAGCTCATGAACTCCTCCACACTTGTGTTTTCAGGAAAAAAAGATATATGTATGATCAAAATTAACTTTGCTAAAGCCTTTGACTTCCTCAATTGGGATTTCCTTATTGATCTCCTCCTAGCCAGAGGTTTTGGACCTAATTAGTGTAAATGGATAAGATCCATTATATCATCCTCTAGATCCTCTATCATAGTCAATGGAGTCTCCACTTATTCCTTTTCCAGTGCCAAGGGCATCAAGCAAGGGGATCTCGTCTCACCCATGTTGTTCATTTTAGCAACGAATGTTCTCAACAAAATGCTCAAAGCCAGTGTGGCCTCAAAGGACTTGTCAGAACTTGATCTAAAAGGAGAACTGAACAGTATCAGATCTCTCCAGTTTGTAGATGGCACCATTGTGCCCTGCAAGGCTACTCATGAGGACATATATGTGCTCAAAACCATCTTCTATCTCTTTGAGAATGTGTCAGGGCTGGGGGTTAACTTTTCTAAGACTAGCCAATATTATTTTGGGAAGTATTCCACCAAGGGAAACCAGTTTGCCTCAACTCTCCAGTGCACTCTTCATAGTCCCCCTTTCAAATACTTAAGTATCCCCCTCAAGAACGGTTTTCTCTCTAGGTCAGAGTGGCAACCAGTGATTGACAACCTTACTAAGAAGTTATCTATGTGGAAAAGTAAACAACTCAGCATTGGTGGACGTCTGACTCTTATAAACTCTATTCTAACTTCCACTCCACTATACTTTCCTTCAAACTTCCCCTCTGGATCATCAAAGAGATGGATAAAATCAAACGTAATTTCCTATGGGGGAGTAATGCATCTTATGCCAAAGGCAAAGCACTTGTGAACTGGAAAACAGTGTGCATACCAAAAGTGGTAGGGAGGCTTGGGTATCATCAACCTATCCACATTCAATGAGGCTCTATTATCCAAATAGATGTGAAAATTCCTTAGACAAGACTCTCTAGTTAGTCAGATTATCTCAAATTCACACAACCAGTCTACTGCTCTTACCAGCTGTACACCACCTAAGGCTAATAATGCATCTAAATTTTAGCATGATACAATCTATTCTAGTTAGGCTTTCTTGTCTCTAATTCAATGGAAACTAGATAATGGTCTATCTTCTCGCTTCTGGGAAGATAAGTGGACTGGCTATAATTCTTTGTCCTCCTTATTCCCTTTAACATTCAATCTAGCCTTATCTAAAAATGTCATGATCAGATCTCAAGGAATCAAGCTAGATAATCACTAGCATTGGAGATCTCTCATCCGTAGGCCCATATCCTCTCGGGAAATTCAATAAGTTGCTAACATGAAAACACTTCTGGCCAGCATCAATGGGCCTAATTGTCATCTTAAAGATGAAGTCTTCTGGCCTCACAACTCCTCAAGATTTTTCATTGTCAACTCTCTATACTGCATCCTATCTTCTGGTGGTGTCAAAAGTGAAGGTTACAGCACCATTTGGAACAATTTTCTCCCTATCAAGGTTAAGATATTCTCTTGGTTGATTTACAAACACAAGCTCCACACTAAGCACAACCTAGCTATCAAAGGTTGGTCATGGGACATAGTGTGTTCTCTATGTAAATATGCATTGGAAATAGATTCTCATTTGTTCTGGGAATGTCCGATTACCAAAGAAGCCTGGAAACCTCTTTTGCATAAGCTGCGACTCAATATTACCAATCAAGACTTTGAGTACATCCTTCATTCTCATGGTTCCTTCATTCTTAATACACAACACCGTCAGCTATAGCTTTCTCTCCTCCATATCTTCTGTTGGTGCATTTGGAGGGCTTGTAACGACATGATTTTTAAACAGTCTCTAATTTTTTCTCAACAGTTAACTGCTAATGCTTCTTTCTTCCTTATGTTCTGGTTAGGTAGCTCATTAAGGAAATAGACAGGGCAGATTCTGTTACGCGCCGTGCGGAAGCATGCTCGCAAACCAACACAAGTCGGCGAGCGATGAGAGAAGAATCAAACAAAACCAAAA